ACCACCGTTGGAGGTGTTCGGGTCAATTCGAGGTTCGGGACATGGTGATCACCAGAGCAATGGGAAGACACCTTAGAAGCTACCCTCATGCCAGGTTCTCGGATCATGAGGACTTACTAAGACATCCTCTACTCGACGATCACCTTTCGAGGCAAGGCAACAATGAGGCGTACCCTAGGGGTGGTGTGTGTGATTCGTGTGTCGTTCGTTTATATTTATCTTGTCATGTCAAAGTGATCTACGCTTGTTTTTATTTATGTCCATACATTCTTTCATGCCTTGGTTTAACAGTTAAAAAATTGCGAAAAGTAAATTCTAAGCTATTACAAACGGCGCGGGTCCACATCGCCAAAATTTCCAGGACCCGATTTGACAGAAAATAAATAAAGTAGAAGAAAATAAAGAATTAAAAGTGCAAGAAATTAATTACATGGCTTTGGGAGAGATACAACAAAATTATAAAGAAATAAAATAAATGCGCGAATTAAATAAGAAATCGACACGAGGGCGTTGGACCCTTTTTGCAAGATTAAATTAAACGGAATTAATTAATAAAGAAAAAGAAAAGAAGATGTTTTTGGTATTTTTAGTATTTTAGGATTTTAATGAAAAAAGAAAGTTAATAAAAATTAAAATAAGATGCTAACCCTAATTCTAATTATTTTAATTTATTAAGAAAAATGTTGAAGTTTTTTAACCTAAAATTAACCCTAATTTTTATATACAATTTTAATTATAAAGATAAATATTTAATTATTTAATTATTATGGGAGAAAAAGAAAAAAAGATAAAAAATTAATATGTACCCTAGTTCTATGTTTTTTAGATTTTTATTAAGAGAATTAAAATTAAAAACTAAATTTAATTATATACAATTTATTTATGAAAATACTAAAAATAAAATATTTATTGTTTTTTCCTTTTTCTGATTTTTAGGTGTTTTTGTTTTTTATAAAAATAATTAATTAATTAAACAAAACAATAATTAAGAAGAAAATAGAAAATAAAAAAAATAAAGACTTGCAAACCTAGGGGGTCTGCCCCAAATTGGAGGGTTTTTTGATAGTAATTCAGGCCCAATAGAACTTGGCCTTTGTTGACCTTTCACGCTGGCATGTGGACTCATTGACCAACGAATATGAGGTGCATCAGATCATGGCCGTTGATTGGATCTCCTGGGATGCATGGACGGTTGGATTGTGAGAGTGTATCATGGACCACAACACTGAGCCTGCATGTGAATTTGAATTGAAAAATAACATGGGAATAATGAAGACCTGGGGCTCGAACCCAGGTCATGTACTTTACCAACAACTATGCTTGCCACTGAACCAATTCACGCGTTTTGATTATTAAACAACTAACAAATATTATAAAAGAAACAAGCGTTAGTGGGGCCTCCGCGCGCGAACTTTCAAACCAGCCACCCATCGCTTGCCACGAGATCATCTTCTCCATCGTTCCTGAAATACAAAAACATAGGCCACGGTTTTCTGAGCGTTCTCTTAGGCCATCTATGGAAAAATAGCAAATAGCTCTAGGACGCTCATAAATTGGGCGCGACACATGGATTCTTTTCGTCCAGACACGCTCGTTTTAATGGTCAAGGTCCCAAATCTCAATTTTTCTTGGATGGAAAGCCCCAAATTGTAATTCCTGCAACCCTAAAAAACGAACATGGTATCTTTGCATACAGCGCATAATAATCCAATCAAAGCATATGGTTAGCTTGCAAACACTTCACTGATCATGAATATATAAACAAAATTCCATGAATGTGCATAGAATGTAAAACACGATTATGAAAAAAAAGTGGAAAAGTGTGACTTCTGTACAATGATTCAAAGGGTTATGTTTGATGTTTTTGATCCAGGAAGATTGCTTGAGGTCCTAGGAGTGCAATGGGATGAAAATTTCGCCTTGAATCGTCCTGCAAAGGTGTTTTCAGAATTGGAATTTTTTGACAAATTTCAAGCTTTGCTTTTTAGATTTTTGAGCAGCTGCGTGTTTTTTTTAATTAGGGTTGTGTTCTATGTATAAGTAAGAGTGAATTAGGTCAAGAATTCTGATCAAAATCCATGCATTAATGGTTTATGAGATTTGATTTTCTTCAAGATCTTTTTCAATCTTTTTCCATGCTATTTGATACCAAATCATGCCAAAACTTTCCCTAATTGATCATGCACGAATTTGAGTGTCCAATGAGAACAATTTCTGCACAAAAAGATTTTATTTCATTAGTTTTGTATTTTTCATGCATTTTATTTAATTAAATGAATTATAAATGATAAAAAATCCAAATAAATAAATAAAAATGGAGAAAAACTTCCCTTTGGGCCTAATGGTCGTGCACATGCTTGGGATAATGAATTATGGAAGAAAAATGGGCCCATTAGCAATTTTAGGTCATTTGAATCAATGTTGACTTTTCAAAATATCCAAAAATTTCCCAACTTCCACAAGGCATAACTTGCTCAATATTTAAGCTTTGCTCATGTTCTTGGACATTTTGGAAAGGTCTTTGAATCCTCTAACCAATGTCTTTGGTCCCATGTCATTTTGATTTTCCAATCTCAAGTTATGGCATTTTACTTAAAGTCCCTTTTTGTTGACTTTTGAAAATGACCTATAATGTTGAAATTGATAACTTTTTGTGAGAGCATCTCTTGGACTTGAAGTATGAAGATGAGTTGTAGGAAATGTCTTTATCTTCACAATGAGCTTTGGATGGTATTTTTTTGATAATCCATGTGAAAGTTATGCTCTGGTCAATTTACAGTTGACTTTTTCAGCTGTCCAAATAAGGAAACTTTTGCATCTTGATGATTTTCGAGCCAAACTTTGAGAATCATGATCAAGCATTGATCAAATGATGTTTGTGGCTTCAAAATGAGATGTTGACCAAAAATTTGAACTTTTGACTGTCAGATGACCATTTTGCCCCTACAGTTGACTGTAGTGCAATTAGGGTTTTGACTGTGCAGTTTTGTGCTGAAAGTCTTGAAACTTGATATGAGGATGCTTGACCATATTTGTAGGCATGTGAGACTTGATTGGACCTTTGGAAACTTCATTTTCTTGATCAGAACCAAAACCCTAGTTTTGACTGTTCAGGAGGCTCTTGCACTGTGCAACCCTTGGGGAACTTTTGAAGCTTTGACTTGGCAATTTCTTGAAGAATATGGGAGGGCAAATTTTGGGGTACAACAACAGGCAACACTGCTTCCATGCCGTATACCAAAGAAAATGAGGTTGCCCTAGTTGAAGTACGCACAGTGGTACGATAACCATGTAAAGAAAAGGGTAGCATTTCATGCCAATCTTTATAGGTTACTAAAATCTTCTGTACAAATTTTTTGATATTCTTATTAGCCGTTAAGACAGTGTCGTTCATCTTCGGCCTATACGGGGAAGAGTTATTATAGCGGTGAAAATCGGAGATCAAGCTATTAATTAACTTGACTCGCAAAAGCAAGAGTCGCCACCGCGCTTTATTATTTCCAAGGGAAAAGGGAAAAGAGCGAAATAAAACCCTAAAATATGCAATGTAAAATAATACTTAAAAGTAATAAAATACAATGCGTTTTTGAAAGAGATCGAGAGTTCGGGGGTTGGTTATACAATGGGAAGGTATTAGCACCCAATGCATCTGCGGTACTCCGCAGGAACCTTTTGAAATATCTGTTTTTGGTTAAAATTGTTTGTTTGATTAAAATGGTTCGTTTGGCTAAAAAAATGGGTATGGACGAGGTTTTGAAGATGCGACGACCTAGTGTCGAAGTTTTGACTTAAAAAAGGGTGTGAGTTTTAAAATTAAGTCTTTTAGAAAAATTTGTTTTAAGATTAAAAATATGAAGGATTTCACACAATCGTACCATATATATTTGATGACATGAAGTCAACCGGTTTAACCATTTTTCCTTGGAATTTAAGCAATGAAAGCACAATAATCAAAGCACAAGCATTCACGGATCCATAAGAAAATAAATCTAAATAAACAAATAATGACAAAGAGGCAATGAGAAATTTAATTTAAAAATGACAAAGACTATCAAATACAAATGAAAGAGAATATAATTAAATAATTAACTAAAAATATTTTATTAAACTAAATTAAAATTCTAAGATTACTAAATTAATTCTAAACATAAATCACAATTCTAAAAGATACTAAACTAATTCTAAATTTAAACTAATAATTTATCTAATTAAATATAACATCATCGTTTGGTTGCCCTCTAGAAAAATTAAACTAAGAAATTACGATAATAAAGTTAAGAAAATTATGAAAACTAAACTAATAAAACGTGGGGTGTCAAGTGAATAAATGGGGTGGTAGAGTTAAAATGGTGGATGCTAAATAAACGTAGGCTTTAAATAGGAGATAAGCCAATTACTAAAACTTAATATTCTAACCGTGGTTTAACGAAACAAAATAAAAAATAAAAAGAAATGAGTGATACTATCATATGGGCGGTGCATCTTTTGGCATTCTCTATGTTCATTTTATTTTTATCTCACCCAATTATATGGTGCCAAGTGGCAGAGTTATTTATAAATAAAAAAACAAATAATAACAAAACCAAGCATAACAAAACAGTAAGAGTGAGAAAACAAATCATACATAACTTCGAGAGAAATTAGAAACAAAACAAAGAACCTTTTGTATCTCCCAAACAACACATCTCGGGTCTTCTTCTTTCTCATCTCACCATATTCTTTCTCAAAAATCAAACAACAAATTCCCAGTCTTTCTCATCTCGTTTCTGATTTTATTTTTTGATTTCTGTCAACGGACCTATCGGATTCCCTCATATGGGATTCAAGAAGAGGTGTTTATAGGATGATGGTAATTTGGACAAAGGGAGGCTTGCAGGATTGGGATGGTGATGAATCGAAGGGTGAGTTGAGCGGGGTGGATTGCTGGTTGTTGGCGAGAGAAAAGGTCAGTCGCGGAGAAGATGCTGTCTGGGAATAGAACAGAGGCGGAGAAATGGAAGTTAGGAGAGGTGAGATGCTAGCGGAATAGCAGGCGAAGGATGAACAGGGGAGGTACGCGGAGCTGCTTTTGTTGTTTGACAGAATTGAAGAGCGATTGGGAAGGAACGGTTGCAGCTTGCGGAAATTGGACATGGGTGTTGTTGTTTTACGGTGGCGAGAGAGAGGGTGTATTGAAGGTTATTACCGTGCGAAACGGGATCGCGCCGGTTGTGGTAGTGACAAAGTTTTAATGGCGGAGGGTATGTTCCATTGTCAGCTTTGTGTGATGCTGACATCGGAAAGGGTTTGGCGTGTGCTTGTGGGTGTCGTGAGGGAGGGTTGATGGTGCGAGGTTGTTTGGTGGTGGGCTGAGGGTAGCGTCGAATCAAAGAGGGTGCGGAACGGCAACTGGCGGTTTGTGTGCGGCTGCTGTTGTATGAAGATCTGAGGGCAGAGGTCAGATTCATGGAAAAAGGCTGGTTGGAGTGAGGTGTGAAGGTTGTGAGGAAGTAGCGATTGGTGTTGATGTGAACGCCAATGGCGATGAGTAGAATAGTGATGAGTCCAAAGTAAATGATGGCGTGAACAAGAATGGAAGCACCGCTTGTTTGCATCTTCCCGAACTCGATTATTCTTCCTCTTCCTGGTATTTGAAACAACAGACCTGGACACAGAATCACGAACAGCACCACCGTTATGATCACCGGACCCCAATCAGCCATTTGAAGATGCAGGTGAGCACGGATGGAGAGAATTGAAAATGGGGAAAAGGAGTATTATTGATTGCTTTATGGAGTAGAGGAAGAAGGTTGTTTGATTTGTTTGTTGTGGTTAATGTTGCATTTTGGAGTTTTTAGAATAGTTGAGATGTATAGAGCAATTTTGAGGAAGTGTTTTTGGGGAGAGAGAGTGAGGTTAAAAAGATACTATCCGCTTTTTTTTTTTGTTGTTCATAAAGAAAATGAAGACTATTTAAATAGTCAGATGAAGAGGAAAAAATTTCTGATTATCCCATCTCATTCACTCTTTTTCTTTTCTAATTTATCAATCCTGCACTACCTCTTGCAACCAATTAGAAAAAAGAATAGTTTAACAAAAAAATTAATGATTAAAAATCCCTCTAAAATAAAAATGACTTAAAACCTGAAAGTGTACAAATTAATGCAATTTAAAATATATTTTTTTGAATTTTTCTGAATAAAAAATAAAGACCCAAAATGACCGAAAATGATAAAAAACGGACGAAAATTTATCCGAAAAAATAAAATGAACACATTAAAATAATCTACATGTCACAAAGATTAAAGAAATAATATTCAAGAAGTCAAAAATCAAAAATAAAATAATAATAAAAATATCAGACTAAACAGACGTTTAAGGTTAAAAATGAGACTTCCAACTGTACCGAAAAAATAAAGCGAGCATACCGTCATAATCTACGCAAAGCGCAGATTCACAAAATGATCGGTAGAAGGTGAAAACTTGAAATATTTTCTCGCTACTTTTCGCACATTGTTGAATCGCTTTTAACAGTTTGTCTATAAAACCGAAATATTTTTATTATCGACATATAAACAACTTGGAGCAATGCAAGAAAATAGTAAACAGATGAAATGAAATGTCGGGTATTTTACAACTGAAAGACGATGCAAACTTTGATTTAAACTGACTTTTCCTGGTCAACTTAAATACGACTAATGATGAAAAATGTGATGAATGAAGATATTTACTAATGATTGTGACCAAATTACAAAATATGATATGAAAGTGCGACTAAAACATATTAGGGGCGAAATTAAGGGTGCAACGGTGTGCCTTGATGAATCAGTCTTCGAGAATCCACAATCAACCGTACTTTGGGCTTGGGAGACTCAAAACTTTAATTGAGGCGCGACACCTGATGCTCTTGATTCAGACCTGTCTCTGCACATGACACAAAAGAAAACATGAACATACACCTTTGTATGCGATTAGAAATTAGTGATACATAGGCTCAAAATGTTCAAAACACTTGACAATCTTCGCATAGTCAATACTTGAAAGTGAGAGGTTAAAACCGACTGTATTTCGTGACCTTGACTTATCTTTAAAAATGCAAAAATAAAAAAGGGATCTTAGGTCAAAAATTGGGGTACAACAGCTGCCCCTATTTAAGTTTCTTCTATCTGACGATATGAAGATTGGGATCTTCATTTCGACGAGATTGAAGGGACTTAAATATAGAATACACAATTTTTGGCCTTAAGATACCGCGATTATGTTTACGATATGATATGAATGTGATGTTTTGAATTTTATGGGGGAATGACGCCATATGAGACAAACTATGCTGGAGAAACCAAGCATATTATAGTAATCCTACAGGGGAACAGATTATAACACCACTGGGGAAACAAAGTCATAGACTTCAAATGAGAGACTCTTGAATGATTTGCATCAGTATTGAGACTGGAAAAGGTAATGATTTACATCAGTACTGTAACTGGAAAAGCATATGATTGACATCAGTACTGTGACTGGAAAACAAAATGATTGACATCAGCACTGTGGCCGGAAAACAAAATGATTGACATCAGCACTGTGACTGGAGATAAACATCTCTGATTTCTGAATTTTACCAAGAACGGTAACACATTTCTTCTTTAACCAAGATATCGCTTGAAAAGGATAAAATAACAAACTTCCCCACGGGACTTTTCCGAAGGGGTGCCATTTGCTGAGTAGACATTATTGTTAGGGATACACAAGCTGCTCAAATAAAGAGGCCGCCACTTGCTTCCTTTCAAAGGTGTCAATAACATACAAGCTGCTCATGAAGAGACCGCCACTTGCTGTCTTCAAAGAAAATTAAAGCATACAAGCTGCTCATGAAGAGTCCGCCACTTGTTGCCAAAAACCCACAACTTGCTCATAAAGAAGCTGCCACTTGCTGTCTTCAAAGAATATCAAAGCACACAAGCTGCTCATGAAGAAGCTGCCACTTGTTGCTAATAACCCACAAGCTGCTCATGAAGAAGCTGCCACTTGTTGTCTTCAAGGGAACAATAACACACAAGTTGCTCAAATAGATAAGCTGCCACTTGCCGTCTTCCAAAAATACTAACGTACAAGCTGCTCATGAAGAAGCTGCCACTTGCCGTTTTCCGAGGTGTCAATAATATACAAGTTGCCTCGTGAAGAGACTGTCGCTTGCCATTTTTTCAAAGATAACAATAACACACAAGTTGCTCATGAAGAGACCGCCGCTTGCTGTTTTTGAAAGTGTTGATAACATACAAGTTGTCCATGAAGAGACCGCTGCTTGCTGTTTTTCAAGAGAAACATAACACACAAGTTGCTCAGGAAGAGACCGCCGCTTGCTGTTTGTCAAGAGTATCCATAACACACAAGTTGCTCATGAAGAGACCGCCGCTTGTTGTTTTTGAAAGTGTTGGTAACATACAAGTTGTCCATGAAGAGACTACGGCTTGCTGTTTTCAAAGAATGTTAAAGCACACAAGCTACTCATGAAGAGTCCACCACCTGTTGCTTATAACCCACAAGCTGCTCATGAAGAAGCTGCCACTTGTTGTCTTCAAAGAATATTAAAGCACACAAGCTGCTCATGAAGAGTCCGCCACTTGTTGCCAATAACCCACAAGCTGCTCATGAAGAAGCTGCCACTTGTTGTCTTCAAGGGAACAATAACACACAAGTTGCTCAAATAGATAAGCTGCCACTTGCTGTCTTCCAAAAAGTACTAACGTACAAGCTGCTCATGAAGAAGCTGCCACTTGCCGTTTTCTGTACAAGCTGCTCATGAAGAGACCGCCACTTGATGTTTTCAAAGGTGACAATAACATACAAGTTGCTCATGAAGAGACCGCCGCTTGCTGTTTGTCAAGAGTATCCATAACACACAAGTTGCTCATGAAGAGACCGCCGCTTGCTGTTTTTAAAAGTGTTGATAACATACAAGTTGTCCCTGAAGAGACTGCCACTTGCTGTTTTTAAAAGTGTTGATAACATACAAGTTGTCCATGAAGAGACTGCCGCTTGCTGTTTTCTCAAAGATACCCATAAAATATCATGAAGATATTGCTGGAGGTGAGAATCAATAATTTCATCGAGGATGGACAAACTGCTCATGAAGAGACCGCCATTTGTCATAAAGAAATCAGAAATAGTCAAACTGCTCAAATAAAGAGTCAGTCGCTTGTTGTCACGTCGATATTCCAGAAGAAGGTTATGATAACACTGCTGGGGAATAAAGTTCATCTTCAATAGGGAACCATGAATAAATACTTCTTGAGGAGACCAAGTATTTACATTGCAAAATAAATGCACTCTCCATCTAGGTTTCATAGCCTAGAGATATCCACAGGGTATCATTCACAAGAGACAAATCTCAATCCAGGAATAAACTGGAGAGAAAACAGTCAAACAAGACTCCACCCAATGAGGAAACAACTCAAATGGGGATTTATCCTATCCAGAGATGGAAAAGGAAAGCTAAAGCAAGATTCTTCCACGAGAGTTAACTCAATGGGGAATTAGAAAGGAGGCGCACTTTCTGCTTAAGTTGACACTCTATTTGGAAAGATCAAATACATTATTTGAATAGACATAACCAAGGTATACGAACTTTAATGACATCAACAAATACAAATGTGCGTGCAAGATGCAAGTGTGAACGAATGAATGAATGTCATGTATATGTTGACAAAACAGACAGGGGAGATAGACAGAAGATGATAAGACGTCCCAGTACAACCCAATGCTCAGCTAATCTCAACAAAAGGGGAACATTACTGGAGATAGATCAAAAGTCATCATTGGAGTAAAGTCCTTTTACAAGGCTTAAAGCTCTTTGGAGAGGAAGATATTTTTGGTAGAAAACCCAAAGTCCAATCTTCTAATGTCCACAATCCATTGAAAGGATAACAACACAAACAAATGTTTCAGCGGGAAAAAGTCATGCTTAGCTGGAGATACTGAGAACACCACCCTCTGATAATGTGTGCAAAACATATCCCATATCTTGACAAATCTGGATTGCCCCTGGGACTAATTTTGGATGCCCCAAGTTTACCGTTGATAAGCTGCATGATGCACGACGATTCTTGCGAATAACTTCACTTCTAAAATGCCCCAAGCTATATGGTTGATGGGGAGAAATCGTCTCAAGAGGATTTTACAAAAGACCTGGCATTCACCATGCTCTGGTGTCTTCAAACTCTTAGAGAGATTCAATAAATCTCGATGTGATTGCCCCAGATTGACTGTAGTTGGCACAACAAAGTCTTCAAATTTTGCCCCAAAAGAGTAAACAAGTTGGGAAAAGCATTAACTGGGAGAAGCAACATGTTCGTGCTTAAGGTCTTCATGTGGCATGCCTCTGGATATGATTTTTTTGAAATGATTCGCCAATTACTCATCATAGTTTCAAGCCTTAAAAGAATAAACTCATCACTGGTGCTTATATGTGAGTTTCCTTGATATCAAACAGATGTTTTGCAGTTAGAAAATTTTATTATGAGAATGAAAATTCTAATGCAACAGTTATGTAAGTCTTGAAGATTTTGAAAAGATATCGCACAAATTTTGCGAGTTAGAGCATCATTTATTTTTGTACAGGAAAAACATATGATACCAACATAACTATTTAGAACATTCATGGGAGTCAGGAACACTATCTCATTGAAGTATGCTTTCAAAATAACCTTGCTTCAATTAGGACTTT